GAAGCAGGTCTAGATGCTGGATCTTGATCATCCACAACAGCTCCTTCCATGGGTGGTAGGAGAGGTCCCAAGGGCGCAGCATTTTGTTGAATCGGTGCGATGGGAACATCTTCCAGACTCTTATACTCAGAAGCTACATAGTAGCAAGGTCAGAGATAGCTTGAAACAGAATCAGGCGTATGGAGAGTACGAATGATGAGGTCCTTCCTTACCCGATGTATTGACTTTCTTCGTTACTTCTCGATCATGCTGTTTGTTAGCTGTAGTGTTTACTTCTTGCTGGTCATAATTAGACAAAGTTGTTGCTATATGGTGGAGAATATTCATGGGATATTTCTTACCTTAATCTGAGATAGAGAAGATTCCGCCTCTTGTATTTCTTCCTCATCATCGCTACTTGCATATGCGACGAGGCCGGCCATACTGTCATTTGAACTTTGAGATGTTGGAGATGAGACTGATACAATCCATCAACATGAAACCGAGTGTAGCTTGACCTAGAATCCGTTTGGGATTAGCGCGGCTCCTCTGTGTGGGTCTTTTGTTGGATAAAGCCCGGATAATGAACCCCAGACTCAACCCATCAGCCTTCCAAGAAGCTAAAGTTTCATTCTCACATCAACACAACGGCCTTCTATATCCATCCAGAGACAAACTGCGGCGCCTAATTACTCCGACAAGGCGCTTGAGAGAAGCTTACGAGCGTGTCACGTTGTGCCGCGAATATACGCTCACGCGCTTGTGGCGCATTGCTTAGGCTTCGGTCTTCCGTTTCAAAGTACTACTCACCAACGAAGTGTCCTGCTGAGCCTGCGAGACCACCAATAATGGCTCGGCCGAGAGACTCGCGCTCACCAAGTCCTGCAGGCAGCACCCACAGTTCTCGCCGTCGCCGCAATGATGATCGTCGAGCTAGGGATCGGCGCAACGATGGACGGGACCATCGGCGACGTAGCAGATCACGCAGTCCAGATGTGAGAAGGCAACCAACTAACTATGGCCGGTTTTGTTCTGACGATCTTATTCATGAACAGCCCAGAAACCGCGACCGCGAAAGAGATCGAGACCATGGGCGAGATCGAGATTATTATCGACGGAGAGACCGCTCTATAGACCGGCGCGACGACAATTATTACCGAGGTGGACGACGAGACCACCGCGAAAGAGATCGGAGGAGATCCCGAGAACGCTACGATGATCGCAATCGATCACCCGATAGGCGACATAACCACAGCCGAGAAGGTGATCGGAATGTGAGAAGGCGAGACGACTCCCGCAACCGCACCCCTGGGCGCCGTGAGGGTACGGCTGACTCCCTTACTCGCAGCATTCGTGAAGACGGCAGAACACATAAGACCTCACTTGGCAGCAGTGGGAAACCCGATACTGAGGAGGTTCGATTGCAGTCTCTCTTTCATGAAAGTATTGCTAATGGATGTCGATTGCAGGCTCCCAAGGCAGATTCTGGACAGCCGGAGGTCGACAAGAAGGCTGAAAGATTAGCCAAACTTGAGGCATGGAAGAAGAAGAAAGAGAATGCCAGCCAGAAACAAAAAGAAGTAAACCCGAGCCAGACAAGGAACCTCTTGGCTGAAATGGACAAGAAAGCAAGTGGGACATCCTCAAAAACAGTCTCTCCATCAGTTTCTGTGACTGCTTCGCCGGCTGCAACACCGACTGTTTCTTCACCTGTCGTCCCATACTCTGGCAAGTTTGACCCCAAGGCCATCGCAAAGAAATCGGCAGCTTCCCGGACACACGAAGGCGTAAAACCAACCTTGGGCTCTCTAGGAGGGCAGCCTGAAAAGCTCCCGGCCCCCGCTAATCCCACAGTGCCTGTAAAACCGTCTACCAGCGGTAGGTTCTCATCCTCGGTTCCTCCCTCAAGCTCAACTGACCAACCTATCTTAGCATCAGCTCTCCCTGCGAATCGAACAAAAGCTAGTGGGTTTGGGTTTGTGAAGAACAACACAGAAACTGACAAGCTCCCCACTAAACGGAAGCTTGATTTGGATGAAGAAGACACTACTAAACGAAAACTTACTAAGCTTCCTGCCCTGCCCATCGAAGCTGATGACACTCCATATGCTGATCAGGATGATGATGAATCTGATGGGGACAACTTCGCGGAGACTGAAGAGGAGGCCGCCGCCGCTGCTCGTGCAGCTCACGAGAGACGGTTGCAGGCAGAGAACCAAATGGATACGGGTGAGGAAGAGTCAAAGACGACCGAAACCCAGATCAATGGAGATACGATGTCAAACAACATCGCCGCTGAACACAACACCACCACACATATGGAAGTTGATGAGGAGGAAGATGACGTTGATCCACTGGATGCATTCATGGCTGATCTCAGGCAGACAGACGTGAAACAGCCAGCTAGGACATCCAAGGCGCAAAAGGTTCAGGAGCCGGAGGCTTACTTCAGCGACGATGAATATGATTTCAACAAGAAGGATACAGGTGACGCAAATGCCTTGCTAGCTATGACTGCGAAGCGAAAGAAGAAAGACATTCCGGCGATTGATTACAGCAAGATCGAAATTGAACCTATTCGCAAAAACTTCTGGGTCGAGCCAGCTGAACTCAGCCAACTCACAGAGGCCGAGGTAGTTGATCTTCGCTTAGAACTCGACGGCATCAAGGTCAACGGAAAGGATGTTCCCAAGCCTGTCCAGAAATGGGCGCAATGTGGTCTGACGCGACAAACACTCGACGTCATTGATAACTTGGGCTTTGAGAAACCTACCCCCATCCAGATGCAGGCTCTTCCTGCTCTCATGTCGGGCCGCGATGTCATCGGTGTGGCGAAGACTGGTTCGGGAAAGACAATGGCTTTCTTGCTTCCCATGTTCCGGCACATCAAGGACCAGCCTCCACTGAAAGATATAGATGGGCCTATCGGATTGATCATGACTCCAACACGGGAACTTGCAGTCCAGATTCATCGAGACTGTAAACCTTTTCTCAAGATGATGGGTCTTCGATCTGTCTGTGCTTACGGTGGAGCGCCCATCCGAGATCAGATTGCTGAACTCAAGCGTGGCGCGGAGATCATTGTGTGTACACCTGGTCGAATGATCGATCTTCTAGCTGCGAACCAAGGGCGGGTCACTAATCTCAAGCGAGTTACATATGTTGTTCTTGATGAAGCCGATCGAATGTTCGACATGGGTTTCGAGCCTCAGGTCATGAAGATCTTCGCAAATATGCGACCCGACAGGCAGACTATCCTCTTCTCGGCTACGATGCCTCGCATCATCGACTCGCTGACCAAGAAGGTACTTAATAATCCTATCGAAGTTACAGTGGGCGGTCGTAGTGTTGTGGCAAAGGAGATTGATCAGATCGTTGAAGTTCGAGATGAGCCATCCAAGTTCCTGCGTGTTCTCGAACTGCTTGGAGAGCTCTATGACCGTGATGAAGATGCCCGCACCCTCATTTTCGTGGAACGTCAAGAAAAGGCCGACGATCTATTGAAAGAGCTTATGATCAAGGGTTACCCCTGCATGTCCATTCATGGAGGTAAAGATCAGATTGATCGTGATTCTACCATCTCAGACTTCAAGAAGGGTGTAGTGCCTATCTTGATTGCTACTTCAGTGGCAGCTCGTGGTCTTGATGTCAAGCAACTCAAGCTCGTTATTAACTACGACGCACCCAACCACTTGGAGGATTATGTTCATCGTGCTGGCCGAACTGGTCGTGCTGGCAATACTGGTGTCGCTGTCACATTCGTCACGCCAGAGCAGGAGAACTGCTCTGTCGGCATTGCCAAGGCTCTTGAACAGAGTGGGCAGCCGGTGCCAGAAAGGCTCGACGAAATGAGGAAAGCTCATCGCGAAAAGGTCAAGTCTGGCAAGGCCAAGGACACATCTGGCTTTGGCGGCAAGGGTCTTGATCGTCTTGACCAGGAACGAGAGGCTGCCCGTCTCCGCGAGCGCAAGACCCACAAGGCCGAGGGTGAGGAGGAGGAGGTCAAAGAAGATAAGAAGGAAGAGGAGGACGATAAGGCAGAGAAGGCTCTCAGTGCGATCCGCGCAGCAGCGTCAGGCGTTCAAGCCCGCGAGTCAGCAAAGGCTGAAGGCGCAGGAGTTGAGTCTACTCAACAGGCAACTGTTACTGCTGGAGTAAAAGACAAGACCAAAGACCCGCTCGACAAGGTTAGTTCAGCCGTGTCCGCCATCAACAGCCGCCTCGGAAAGGCTGGCCAACTTCGTGCTGGTCAGCCCATCGACAACAAGGGCCCAGATGCTGGTGCGTTCCATGCCACATTGGAAATCAACGATTTCCCTCAAAAGGCCAGATGGGCTGTCACCAACCGAACCAACGTCGCCAAGATCCTGGAAGCTACAGGTACATCGATCACAACAAAGGGCAACTTTTACCCACCAGGCAAAGAGGTTCCCGCAGGAGCCGAACCAAAACTGTATATTCTCATCGAAGGCGATACCGAGGTTGTTGTTGGATCCGCTCTCAGTGAACTCACGCGCCTATTAAGAGAAGGAACAATAGCTGCTGCAGATGCCGACAGCCGAGCACCAGCCAGTGGACGATACACAATTACCTAGCCATATGAGGTCTTTCGCTGGAAGGATGTCAGCCCACTGCCTTCATTACACTTATATGGACTGGCTCGTTGATGAATGGCGTTGCAGAGGCTACGTGGAAGTTTGAAGAAGAAGATGTATACAATAGGAGTTAATCATGGCGTCACATGCCTACTTCGGTGGAAAGCTCTAGGGGAACATTGGTTAACGCTGAGTCAACCGAGTTTTTGAACTTGTAACGTTTCCGAGATAAAACGTCTATAATATTGCTTGAAAATACTCTAAGATAAGAATCCAACCGAACATGAACACAAATCTTGGAACTGCTAGGCGCTATTGAATGATCACAATGTGTAGACGCGCTACCATCTAGTCCGTATTGCCGTGAACCAGCTACTCTGCGGCATCTTCTGACCTGTCTGCTCTTAAGAAGTCAACACTAAATCATCATGCCCAATTTCTTGCTTCGGCTGCTTGATCGGCCTCGCGCGCTCGCAGCTGCTCTTGGCTAGCGTCCTTGAGGGTTTCTGAACGTGTCTGTTTCTTCTGTGCTGCTAGTTGTGTCTGCAACTTTCCACCAGGCTTTAAGGATGCTTTTGCGCGCGCCTGCAATGCTCAGTCAGTCGAGATAACAATAACGACACCATGACAGTCACGCGATAGGGGGCGACCTCACCTCTGCAGCTTCCGCGGCTTTCCTCCGGGCGTCATCCGTATCTCCTGAAGCTTCCGCAGCTGGGCCACTTCCCAAAGTCCTTGGCGGGCCTCCGACCTTTTTCGGAACCGGCGCTGTGCCAGCGGCTGGAGCGGGAGCGGAACCCAAGACTCTGCCGGGTTGCGAGAAAGCCTCTGGCTCTGTCTTTCCGCAGATGTTACCCATGGCTGCCGATGGTGTGGTGCGGTGGATTCAATGTTTTCTGTTTTCTTTTGGGCTATAACACAGGGGACAAAGCAAGGAAAAGACTGGCCGTATGCTGAGATTGCCAGATTGAAGTTTAATGGATTGAATTAGAGCGTTGTGTGGCAGCGAGAGACGTTAGGCTGGAGTTTCTTAATGCCAAGATCGAGGTCAGGAGGGGTTTCCATATAAGGAAATAGGGTAGGAAGCGTTAAGCTTGGTTTGCGATAACCCCAACCGAGTGTCAGTAAATGTCAGTGTATAAAGATAGCTGATGACGATCACTCAGTCGTGGTGAAGTCAGTTACTCCTTGTAGTCAACTCTGCAGTCATGAAGAACTTGCAAAAGATAATCGTGATGGGTTGAGGGATGCAGCGCTGCGCCTCAGGGGCGTGTGAGCAACGTCGAAGTAAGGCAGGCGATCCGAACATCAGCTGTCAGGCCTATTAACTCGAAAGAACACTGTCAGAAGCACACCTCAAGCAGTATATAATAGCCTAAGATAAGCCCTTTAGCTTATTCTCTGATTACGTACCGTTAGTCTTGCTGCGTAGTGCGAGTCGTAACAGTAGGCAAATGCAGTTACCTCAATTTCATCGGCTACGTATCTTTGACAGATAATGATGGTTATCACATTGGGTTTCGAGTGTCTTGCATTGGTATATCTCTGTCTAAAGTCCTCATACCTTCCTACCAAAGTTTGAGTGACGGAGAGCATTCCGGAGTTAAGTGGGTCTATGTCTGTCGCACCCGGAGCGGGGAGTTGCGTTGCCGGGAAGAGTAGACGGAGATGGAATCGATCATTCGTAAAGGCAAGTTCTGTAATTGCTCGCAGCCTGGAAACTACATATAGGTGTCAACTATACCCGTATACGATTGTATCTCAAGTTCTCAAGTGGTTACTCACTACGTACCTATATCAATTCAAAGCCTTTATATCCAGTGCAATGTAGACGCGGGTCAATATGCAGCAGCCTTAACAAGATTTATGCCATTCTCAGTCTGGAAATGTCAGCGCATGTCTGAGTGGCTGGTGTCGATATCAATACATACCTAGGGGAAATAATATAACAAAACGGACAAGCATAGGGTAACTGCCATGAAAACTTGAGTCTATTGCCCCGACTACCTTAAGTGTTCAATCAGTACATGCAGTTCGTATGATAGTAGGCTATACAGTAGAAGTATACAGTCTCTGTTATTAACATATATAGCTACCACTTATTGGTGGGAAATCGTGCAGCTTGGGTATAACTACTTTAACAGACATAGACGTGCAACAACACAAGTTGACACCGAGGAATCAGACCCAATGGTCACAATACCTTAGTTACAACAGTGAACGATCTACGATCAACAAGCCGATCGCAGAAGAGACGTAGCAACAAAGGCAAGACCAAATCACAGCCATCCGGGGATATCACCCGCTGCAAGTCACTGAGCCAGTTGTATGGGCCATATCGTCAGTGCTCTAGTCGGAAAAGTTACCGAGGAACATGCTGGAGCGATGAAGTGGATTAACTGCACATAAAGTACTGTACAGAGACTACCATATCCTACTGATGCAGAAATTGGTATATCATAGTGCAGGCGATCAAGAGACATGAACCCCACGCGGAAGATTCAGTGGTTGACGCGACTTCGAGGCACTGAACCAGTTCGGCTATGGATTTCTAACAAATAACTAAAGGATAATAAATACTGACCGAGGTTGGTATCCCTTGTCCTCAAACCCACCCAGTTCACCAGCTCAACTTTGGTGACTTGTCTTCCAGCTGACAGGACTGGCTGTTTACGGGTAAAGTAGGTAGGGTTGGAAGAAATCGTAAGCCTTTCACTTGCTAAGATATTCCCTCAGGTACTCCGTACATTATTGCTCACTTAGGGTTAAAAACTGTTTCTTAGTTCAGGAAAAATAGAAGCGAACGAATGCCTACAGCCTCCGTGGCCTCGTAGGTACTCAGCAACCATAGATTGCTCCTGTCTTGCTCTCTCAATCCCTCTATCCTCATTGGCTGAGCATAACTGTTCCAGGAAGCTGGTCCCACTAAAACGCACCATGACCCACTGGAGTTCACAAAGTGCTTTAGCGTCTTACCCTGCCCCTCCACCTTCAACCCTTTGAGCCGCCTGGCCATCCGGGTTCTCACTCTCATCGATTGTCTTGGGCCGTTCGCAACATCCCACTAGGGCCGCCGAGGCCTTCACCTTATCCTACTAATGCCGTCGAGGAGCAACTCAATCATAAATTCAACTCAAACCCATCCGCGCGCGAAAGGATAAAAAAGAGAGAAGCAATCGCCGTTATCAAACCGAGCGATTGCTGTTGTGACTCCATATATGCAGTCATGGACCACTCAGCGCCTTTCGCTCATCATCACCAGCAGCAAAACCAGCCAACTTCTTTCGAATCCGAAAAAGTCGACTATGGCTTTGACAGTTTGCTCGGCCACGATATATGCCTGACACATGGTCTCGATTCTCTCGGTACCTGCAACAACACTGAGAACGCTTGTCTCGACCAACGCTGTTTTGACCACTATGGTAAAACTGCTGCCACTAAGACCGCTCTTGACATCGGCCTCGATCTTAAGAACGGTGCTGATACGGCCTCTCAGCGTCATGACCAGGCCAACAACGCCCGTTCCACGAGGGCAAAAAGCCGTACCCAATCAAACATATCCAGTTCTCCTGCAAGAACATTGTCCACTGCGGCAAAGAGAGTCTCAGCGCACCGACAAAAGCGAAGGAGACAGTCTGAGCTGACGCATCAATATCATAACCAACTGGAATACCAGCAGTCATCGCATGTGCATCAAATGCACTCTCCTCATCGCATTCAACAAGATCAGAATCTCCACCATATCGACCCCACAGCCGTCCTTCAGGCCGTCAACGAGAATTTGCAGCACAACTTCAACATGCCACTGTTAGACAGCCAACATACATCGTTTGGAGAATTCCAACACCAGAACCATGCATTTTCAATGCCAAGTCTCTACGATCGTTGGCCACAAGCCGTTGCTCCCTCCTGGGCCAACATGATGGGACAGGCCAACGTCGCTAATTGCATGCCGATGTCATGGACACAACATATGGGATGCAACAACGCCACCTCTGTTGACTGCACTTCTGCGTGCGGCGACGCCAAATGCTGGAGTCAATGTGGCGATGGAGATCATGCGGACTGTTGCTACGATGCTTCTTGTGACGACTTTGACTTCTCCAATGCTGCTTGTTGCTTCGAACCCACTTGTGCTGCCCTCGAGCCATGCCTTGACGCCTCTTGCCAGGAGGCCGCAATCCCCTGCAACGATTCGCATTGCGTGAGCACCACCGTTTCCACCACTCCGGCATCTGTGTCTGTTACAACACCCTCGGCAGAGCCTGAGCCCGTGGTCAAAACACTCATGAGCCCGGTCGAACCAGGCCAGGGTGTTCCTCTGGATATTGACTCCGCGATCGGTCATGACTTTGGCGATTTCTCTCATGAAATCGGACCTAGTTTCATTGATGATCTCAACCAACACGTCGGGAATCTTGCAAGCCGCCCCAATGGCCCTGGGCTGAGCCACAATGGCACCTTTTCTATGCCTTCACAATCCCCCACGCCGAAAACCGAGTTGGCTGAGAAGCAAGAAATAAAAGGGGAACCTGATTTCACCTGCCAATGGCTTTGTGAGGGAGATGGTGTCCTCTGCTCTAAAAGGTTTGCAAGTAATAAAGAACTCCAGGACCACTGTAAGAATGAACATGTCAAGACTCTGCAGAAGGGCGAAAATGGATTTTGCTGCACATGGTACGCTTGTATAAGACCCGGTCCATTCTCACAAAAGAGCAAACTGGAACGACATATGCAGACGCATACCGGATGTGAGTTGTACCATATGATGGAATACCAGGTTCCATTTCGAAGAACGTACTAATTTGTCTGATAGACAAACCAGTCAAATGCGAGATTTGCGGCATAATGCTTTCAGCAAAGCAATCTTTGGAGCAGCACATGCGTACCCACTCGGGAGAGAAACCATGGAAGTGCGAATATCCGGGGTGTGAGGCGCGTTTCAAGCAACAGAGTGCTCGTAGTAAATATGTCAACCCCTGGCTCAATATCAAATGCTAACTTGCTCTTAGCTATGCATTTTCGCACGCATACAGGAGAGAAGCCGTTGAAGTGCGAAATCTGTGGGAAGCGATTTGGTGAATCTTCCAATCTATCAAAGCACCGGCGCACGCACAATGTTCGTGGTAACCACGTTTGTGAGCACTGCGGCAAAGACTTTCATCGACTGGATCAACTTCGTCGGCATCTGCAGACTCATCTGCAAGATGGCGGCCGCAAGACTAGCAAAAGCTCATGAGATGCAGCTCTGAAACTTCCCAGAGTTGAGGATATCTCATTTAAAAGAGAAAAAAAGGAAAGGTGCTGTCGTTTTGGGATTTTGGGATTGGTACTGGTGTTGAAGGTTTTCGCAATTAAGCCGTTTTGAAATTTGTGATGAAAACTGGCGTTCCTGGATCATGTTGCTCCGGACGAGCCACATGATATTTACGAAGGGAGCGGAAGACTCAGATAAAGGTAGATAGATACCCGGTTCCATGATGGATACGAAAAGATCAAGCTCTTGATGTAATTGACCATGATCCAGAATGTCCGGCCGAGTGTGACAGATACGGGTAGTTTAGAATTGGTGCATACTGTTTCCGATGTCGTGTAATGATCTCGTTTTATCGATGGGGAGGAGGCCAGGAGGGGTATTTGAATCTTCACTGTCGCCCTCGGATAGTTTGTTTATTCATTCGTCCCGTATACTGTCCATTGAAAGCACTAGCTGAAGGCGTGAATCCCGGAAAGCTGTGCAGCCAACTCTGCACTTGAGGATAGTTGGATGTCGATCATTGAGACATGAGCGATGCACATATATTGGTTAATCCGCGGTCCTCTCGAAATCGATTCTTCATCGGATCAAACTATCCTCCA